AACATCAAGTGCAGGACGATCTTGGATCGCGCATGGACTCGGACCGTACACTGTACCGGTCGATGCGTCGTGTGGCAGGAGATCGGCAGTCGACGATGGTCCGAGGCCGCCACCATCATCGCCGCTCGCGACGCCATCATTCAGCGACCGGCGAGCAACTAGCGATCGGCGAGCAACCAGCGAGGACGACGACGACGCGCCAGCGATGGGTTCAGCAGCGGTGGACGATGGCGACGAGCGGTGACCGCGCTGCCACGACTGCACGTGGGCGTCGCCTGATACACCGACAAACGACATAGCACGTGGCATGCCTTCGGATAGAAGCTGGGCCAGCGCTGCTTGCGTTGGAGCCCATGGAGCCGCCACGCTTTGGCCCGATTTTGGCACGTTGCAGCCAACTTCAAGTGTTGCAGTCGGTGGGGTTGCAGTCGTCGAGGCTTGGTAAGGCATCGATCTCGGCGGGCCGCGCTGAGGACCTCGCGGTGATGCATGGACTTTTGCATTATATCGCCGCGCACTGTCGGCGAGCCCGCCAAAGACTCTGGTCGCCATGGGTTCCGAGTCCGTTGCAACGTTGCAGTCGGGTCAAGCTCGCGCTTCCAATGCGTAGAATTGGAAGGGTGATTGACCACGCACAATACAGTACACGGATCTCAAAGAATACTCTCCAAGGGCCGAGCGTTTGAGCGTATTTTCATGCGCACGCCAAAGTGGAAAGGCGACATAGCGTGTCGTGGGGGCCCTGAACACTCGACGACGCCCATAAAAAGCCAACGCACCGATCCGTCCCGCAGTGAGCTTCGAGTAAGAAAGTACCGGGTAGCTACCTCGTATCGATGCGTTGATATACCACGAGCCGCGAGAGAGACGCCCATGACCTTTTCTCTGAGCTCGGCAGACGCATACCCTACCCCTCATTGAATTTGTGGTAATGGTAGAGGGGCCGCGCGTTTGTGGGCTTGCGCCCGTACGACACGAACTTTGTACTCTGCGGTTGTCGGACGATATGCTCAGAAGCCATGCGTGCAAGACAGAGATGAGCGAATCCGTGTGGCCCATAACTGCGACCGTGACGAGGATGATTGGCGCGATCACGTCACCCGCTGCGATATTCTACGTAACATTAAATCTGATCGAAACTTCGCTAGATTGCCACCGCAGCTCTAAACGTACATTAAAGAAATCGTACCCTGCAGCACCAGAGCGATAAAAATCGTTGCGACATCTCTGAAGAAATATTCTCAATGCTTCCAGCCAAATAACCTAGGGTCTAGAGCTTTCACCACCAACGCGATTCCTCTGATGCAATGTATTGTGCGGCTTTTGCTTAGCGCAGTAGGTTCTGTTGAGAGCCAAAATACCTTGATGCATACTACGCAACAACGCCTGTCGTTTGAACCAGCGCTGGAACTTATCAATATTCCTGCCATTCGAGCCAATCCTTCTTGTATGTACATCGTTTGGGACGCAATTCCCTCTCAAATTGTCCGAGTCGGTCCCAGCTTGCACTGTTTTAGGGGGAGGAACCTCCATGATTTGGTAGTCTCGCGTGAAGCTCCCCCTCTCTTGCACACCCTGAGCGTTTATATGGCTCGTTTTATTGCCACTTTTGTCGCATTTATTATATACCCTTGATGGGACGAAGCAGGCAGGAGTGGAGCATGACATGCTTGGTCATGAATACCAAGCAAATAGCGTGTTCATTCAACAGGACCGAGCCTTGGAGATCGAAGAATACTACATGCGCATGGCCTTGAGCTCTTTGTAGAGCGCCACGAGATCTTCGGGGCCATCGTCCGACTCTTGGCCCATCGACGCCTGGCTCGGGAGCCGCCCAGAGCCCCGAAGCACGTCCTGCGTCATGACCTGCATGCGCTCGCGGAGCTCCGTGACCCGGACCTTTTTGTTCTCGTCGTCTGCGTCGCCCTCCATGACAAAGTCGAGGTCGGCGCTGCCCCGGCTGTGCACCGGTGTCTTCTCCGAGTCGGTGTGGTTCGAGTTGAAGGAGGCGAAGAGCGTCGACGGCTTCGAGTCGCGCCAGCTCGTCGCGGGTTTCGACGTCGGGTCAAACACGACCGGCGTCTTCTTCATCTCGGACGACCGGATGCCGACGAGCTTGTTGTCGCAGAACTGGAACGTCTGGCCGGACTCGCGCCCCGAGACGCGCCCGGACTCGCGACTCGACG